GAAACCACCCTAGACATCTAATAAACACTAACTTTAATAGCTCCTTGGGGTTATACTACAGCAAAGTTTGCAAAATTTACCCTAAACCCCAAAACCCTAAACCCTAAATTCTAAATTCTAAGCCCTAAACCTTAAAGGGATAGGGGTTAACGCTGGTTGCAAGGCCCCGGCCCTCATCTCTTCATTGAGGGGCGGATGCTGAGCCGCAAAGCTGCACAAGTCCACACAAAGGTCCAGTGAGCAAAGCACCTTCCTACCTGCCTAGATAGTTTAGGGTCTAAGGTTTAGGGCCTAGGGTCTACCTGCTCAGACAGACATCAGGATTTAGAGCTTTAGGGCTTAGGGGTTCAGGGCTTAGAGGCCCAGAGGCTTTAAATTTCAGGGTCTAGGGTTTGATGTGTCAGGGTTGATGTCGGGCATAGGGCAACTTAGGCGCTTTCCAGGCCGTCCAGCCGCGCATAAACAGAGCGAGTTGTATAGAACTTTGAGGGGGGGTCCCTAAACTCTATACCGTAAATCCCTGAACCCTAAACCCTACATCCCAAGCCCTACATCCTAAGCCCTCAAACCCTACATCCTGCATCCTAAACTCTTCACCCCTCATCAAAGACACTAAACCCTGAACCTGGGGCCTGATAGGGCCATTTCAGCCTTCACATTCTTTTTGGGGATTCTTACAGGGAGTATCTGAGAGCAACCTCTTACAACTGAAAAACTATGCTGATAACTTGGGGAACCGGAAAGAGGCCGTTTTGGGGGGATTATGCGAGTATGATTTGAAGTATTCGAAATGATTCAGCGGCCATAGCCATGTTAAAAGGGTTTGAGGCATACCGGAAGTATGGAAAATTGTGGTAAAAGAAGGAGGACAGCAAGGGGAATATCATTGGACGCAAGTCAGAGATGCATTCCATGAGTCTGGAAGGGACATCTTGTTGGTACTCTAGGTCTCTCAAGACCTCAGTATGCTACCACATTTGCCACGGGATAAGGTACTTCGCCGAACCAAGCAACATTTCCAGTACCCACCTGAGGACACACAGTTTGAGTTGACGTTTACAGTGTCAGGTACGTCTGTCCGCGTCCAAAAGTGCGTTTAGGGTTTCGCGGTCTGGGTTTCGGGATTAGGGTGTGAAGACCACTGTGATAGAGCTTAACATACTGGAGCCCTACTGGCGTGAAGAGATCCTGACCCCTCTTCCCTACAGTTTAGGTTTAGGGCTTAGGGTTTAAGGTTTTAGGTTTGGGGTATAGGCCTTGGGGATATTACCCCGATGATGGAGAATCAAATGGAAAAGAAAATGGACAATGTAATGGACATTGGGTTTGTGTAGGGTTGTACAAAGGAATGCAGGGGCCTAAGTAATTACCAATATGATTTTGAGGTCTATTTAGGTACCCTATACTTGTACAAGGAATCTAGGACCATGATACTGGAAATAATTTAGGTTTCTACGGTACCCTAAGAATTCCTGCCGCCGTGCCCTACGCAGCCGCGTCCCCAAAAGCATTAATGAATACATTCTCTGATACCACACCAGGGGCAAATTATCAGCTACTCCCCTGCTACCCGTAAACCTCGCGCGACACAAGACTTCCAAACGCTCCAAGACCTGACCATCACACTCTCCAATAACCTTCTTGAGAACCATAGTAGCATGACAGGCAGAATAATGAACAAATTGAAAGCTACAGCATTAGCAATAGCAACAGCAAGGGTAATCGTATGAGTAGTAGTAGTAGTAGTAGTAGTAGCAATTTAGTGCACTCAGCAGCTTCTTGCGCAGGAGCTGAGCTCTCACTGTCTCTGAGCTACTGCGTGACTGAGCACATCTCCAGCTTCGGGGTTAGGGTTTCGGGCTGAGGGCTCAGGACTTGGGGTTTAGAGTTTTGAGCCGAGAGTCTAGGGCCCCAGGGTTTAAGGCCTTATGGGCAGGGACCGGGTCGGACAAAAAATTGGCTTCTGGGTGGGAGTTTGGAGATTTCTGGCCTCGTGCAGGTTCAAATTGAAGACTGCAGACAGGAATGCTCTCAAGTCTGGCCCAAAACTGTACTGAGTAGCGTTTTTGGTAGTTGGGTTGGCGCAAGAAACCTCATAGTCCTCTTATAAAACACCGTACCCGAAAGGAGGGTATAATCTTCATCTATACTGGAGGCTATCGTATCCAAAAATAAAGAGGGATAGAATCTCCACAGGTTGTCCCAGGCACGCATATACCAAGCTCTTGTGAGTAAAACCCAGCGAGATATAGTTTGCCTCAGGAATTTCTAGATGTCTGAAAAAACGGTAGTCCTACTGAATAGATGCCGTTCTACAACAATGAGGAAGACGAGACAACTGCCAGAAATTGACCCCCAGATAAGTGAATGTGTGACCAGGATAACAACCCACAAGAAGGCCATGCACAGCCTCCAATAGGATGTGAAGAAGGTTGTCAGGGTTGTAGATGCACTGACTACGGATTATAGAGGGAACCCCTCCGAGCAAGTGATGTTGAGGACGTATATCCCCTGTGGCTGAAAGAGTGCTGTACTCAAAGCAAAATGGTAGTTTCTTAAAATAGGGGGACCCCAATATAGACCCCAAAATACTATGGCCCTTATTATGGGGACCCCCAAAATGGTATCCCTGATTTTGGGAAACCCCCAAATGATAAATGCGGGGTTTAGGGCAATATGCAGGCTGAATCACTCCGCGCTTTCTGCAACCTGTCGAAAACACTTTTAGGGTTTAGGGCTTAGGGTTTAGGGTAGCTGGCTTCTGGGCTGAAGGTTCTGTGTGTAGGGCTTTCAATGGGAAAAGTCAAGGTTTAGTGTATAGGGAGGGCGTGGTTCACCGAAAATTCCCAACAATGACTTGGCCAAAAGTGTGTACGACAAATCACGTCGATCACTTTCATAGAATTCCTGTCCCCCCACCAAGGTTTTCAATGAGTCTTCGACACTTCCAACTGCGCTTTAGAGGGTCCAAGGGCTGGAATTGTTCTCAGAATTCTGGGGGGATCAGTTTTTTCCAAAATGCAGAATCGAATCAGAAAAATGCAAAATAAACTGGAAACTGGAATTATAACCTAAACCCTAAACCGCGTGTAGTTTAGGGTTCAGGCCTGCTGACTCAAGCTCACATTCTGACTTCGGGACAGTGACGTAATTCGTTTGGGGAAAGTACCCAAGCTTGGGGAGCTAAGGTTACAGCCAAAATGCTGGCAACTATCTAAATTTAGGCCCCTGTAAGTCCCTACAACCCTCCGTTTCCATGTCCTTCAGTATTGGGATAATATCCCTAAACCTAAACGCTAAACAAAAATCCCTCCTAAACCCTACACTAGGCTTCATGGTCGAGGGCTTGGCAAGGTAGAGGCTTACAGGCACATGGCTCCCCAGGCTTCAGTGCGCTATGTATACATACATAAACATACATATACGTATATAACGGTATATGCATATGTGTATATCGTGAAACTGTATTCTTGATTCATATACAAAAGGGTTAAATATAGGGGTATTTTTGGATTACGTAGAGGTGTTATCCCAACAATGGAAAATCAAATGGGAAAAATTGAAAATGACATGGAAACTGATGCTTTTAGGGATCCATATGGCTTAGGGCTTCAGTGTAAGAACTGCGTACCTCTGGTCAGCTAGCAATGAAGGTGTGGATCATTCCAGCAATCCCAAAAGAATCCACATTCATGTGATAGTTTTCATGGTCTTGTCCATTCCTTCCTTCCCTAAGCCTTAAACCCTACGAACCAGATGTAGGTCATAGCCACACTCCATACATCCCTGAACTCTCGTCGGTGATCTTCCTTGAGGACTTCTTGCAATCCTAGGTCCGAAGACTCTCAGACTATGACTACGACTTGCCTTCTAGGGTTCAGGGTTTAGGGCTCAGGGATATCAAAAAGGCCTGGAAAGCATCAAATTCTTTGGATTCCTGATCATTCTACAGGGGCTGCTATGGGGTTCCAATCCTCTTAGTCGTACCGCTGAACGAGCACTGCGCCTACGACGCCTCTAGACCATGCTGAAAGAGGTCCATAAAAACCGCAGGATATCTATCCCCTCGAAAGAAACTTACTTGTCATGTTCAGACTCTGCTTGCCAAGTACACACAGGATCGAGTGAAAGCACCATTAAGGTGCACATGCTCATCTTACTTGGGCTGCGTAGGGAATCTGGGAATTATATAGGGATTATGTAAGGACTATATTACGTTATATCACGTTGTTCCCTACGAAGGCCCAGTAAGTAAGCGTTGATGGAGGAAATCTTGCACCAACTCAAACCCTCTAAGTCCTGGGAGTAACAGAAGCTTAGGCACCTCAAGTGGTGCAAACCCTTGACCTGCATCTACTCGAACCTAATTAGCCACCAAGCTGCATGAAGCCGTGGGGAGTTGGTCCCCCAAGCCATACACCCTAACCCTCCGGGTCAGGTTCTAGGGTTGCACTATAATCTTTTGGGGGTAGGTTGGTTTGGTAGGTTTGGCGCTTGGAGGTTTGGGGAACTAGGGGGCTCAGGGCATTAGCGCTGGCATGTACGCATGTACTCGAACCGTGGCATGATTGCCGTGCTGCTACATCGGCTTATGTCTACAGTTTACGTAGGGTTGCAAGCAACACAGCTTGCGCTCCTGCATGCACTTCCCAGGCCGCATCCGCAGCACCTTGGGCTTCTTAGTGGAAAAAGAGCCCGCAGCGTGCGCTGAGTCATTTTGCCTGCTGATCCGTTTTCATGGTAGCGGAGCCTGCACTGATTCAGAGGAATCGGTGGGGCTCCAGGAGCATTGACTGGTGATCGACTTCAGGGGAAGGCGAAAGACTGGAAGACATGTCAGAACTGCGCTTTAGCAAAGATGGGGTGCCCATCATGATGGGGCACCGGAGCTTTATGTGGCATATCAGCGCGCTGCTTTGACGTACGCTGAAACTGTTGAATGGAAGAAGAGGTCGTTGGTAGGACCTCGCCTACAAGCAGCCTTAGAGGGTAGCGCCAGGATGGCTGTGGAGCACATGGCTCCTGGGTGGATATCTCACGATCAAGGTGCTGCGCAGCTCCTCAGGTACCTGAAACAACAAGTGAGAGCTCCGACCCTTGCAGAGGCGGGAAGAACCATGGCCAAGTTCTTCTATGGCATCAAGCGTCGTCGTGGTGAAGGGATGAATGCCTGGATTGTTCGACATGATGAGGCCCTCCTTGAGGCAGAGAGGACCTTGGCTGAAGCAATCCAAGAATACGGACCTGGAATGCAGCCGGCTCCACCCGTATGGGATTCATCCTGGAAGGCTCAGGGCTCAAAGCAAGGTGGCTCTAGTCGAGCCAGTGCAGGAAGCCGGGCATCAGATCGAGAGCAAGACCTTCGAGGTACCGAAGCGGCCGCCTCAGCAACTGCCTCAGGAAAGGTCACGGTAGAGGAGAACCTTGAAGAAGAATCTCCTGAGTGGGAGATACGCTCCTGGAATACCGAGCAGTGGTATGGATGGCAGCGTTCTTGGTGGAGCTCGCGTCCTTCCCAGCCATGGGGCTGGGAGTATGGATCCCAGCCAGAAGGATATTGGGGAGCGGGAACTTCACACTATGGAGGTAGTCACGCATCATGGGATGCGTCTACTGCTGCCTCTGCACAGGCAGATCGCTTCCTGCCAGATTTTGTGATCGCATGGCTGCTTCTTCAAAGATCCGGCTTGGATGCATCTGAAAGGAGTGTGTTGGTGGCAAACCTCAAGAACGACTTCAGTGTACAGAAGGTGAAGGAGGCACTACGGCTTACTTGGCCAGATGAAAAGCTGACGCGCCGGGACTGGAAAGCACGCAGCCATGTTTACTGAGGAGGAATCAGCAATGCTTGCTGAGGACGAGTCAGTGGAGGACCTGCATCCTGGAAGCTGGGAGGACCCAGAGGACGAGCAAGCATATCAAGCTCTGGCTGAGGATGGCCAAGAGGCGCTTGCGGCAATCCATGACACCAAGCGCACCTTGAAGGATGCCCGTGAGAAGCAGGCCCAGCTGAGGCGCAACCGGCGTTTCTACCCCTCCAAGGGCGGGGGCAAGGGCCGAAGTGGGGATCGACCGCCCAAAGTGCCCCCTCAACTCAAGCCCCAGATAGCCTGGGAGTACGCATTTGGTGATTTTCAAGCCCTCAAAGTGCCAAAATGTGTCCCAGCTGCGTTCCCTCCATTCAAGGCCAAAATGTGGCTGTCCTGGGATGTCGTGCGCGTGAACCTTCGTGCGACCCTCCGCCTCCTTGAACGGCAACTTCACCAAGGCGGTCGCCGTGCACTCGTGTCTGGCGTTGTTGCCAAACCTGAAGGACGGAGTCTCGCCCTTGAGGATCTGAATCCCATCATCACCAGTCCGCGTCCGGTTTAGCTGGGCTATCTGCTGTAAGGCCTCCTCTGAGCCCAGGCTACTGGTTGCTCCGCCAGCGATGATGGCTTTTCCTTCCTGGATGATGGTGTTCAACGCCAGGAGGTTCTGCTCATCGGTCTGGGCCGCTGCCAGTACTTGAGCTTCCTTTGTCTCATGCCATGGTGACTCCGCAGCTCCGGTTTCAAAGGCAGTGAACACAAAGTTGACCCTTGGCTCTTGGTCGTTGGTGGCAGGATTCTCCGGGCAGTCCCTGCGGAAGTGGAGCAGTGATCGATTTTGGCCGAGACGAAGCCATTTTTAGGGAGCTCGATCCATCTCGAGTGGTTCGACTCGAGACCACTGATAGTGGCCATCAACTTTTTCCATTAGTTGGAGATGTGCTGCAGAATGCGGTAAGTAGGCATAGTCCTTTTACGTCCCTTCATGACACCAACAGCAGCTCCATCTCCACTGAAGCGCCCAAGTAGGGACAGCACCTTCTGGAAGTTGCAGGCGCAGCAGCTTCTCAGAAGGGCCCAGAAAAATCCAATGCGTCTGAGTTTTTATCTGAGTGTGATTCATCCTGCAACGGTCTCCATGGGGGAATGGGTTGGGGGCAAGACGATCCTAAGCAGTTGGGAGCGTGTCACATGAGCCAGGCCTATCTCTCTATAGACCCCAAGGCCCCCTGGAAAAGTATAAGGGTCCAGGTTGAAGATGAGGCTAAAGGGTTACTCCTTCAGAAACCTCAGCTGTCTCAGCATAAGGAGTTCTTGCAGAGGTCCCGTGGCACGTTTTCAACTTACGTAAAGAGCGTCATAGGTCCAACCTTGAACCTAAGGATATAGAAGGCGGGGCAGGCAGAGCGCGTGTGTGATTTTTGGGATGTTCACTCATGGGGGAGTTAATGGGTTAACTCGAGTGACCAGGGAATACCAGGCTGTGGCTAGGTGTTTGGCGCTTGCTTTGAAGTTATCCTGTCCTGAGTTTCATGTGACGTCCTTGTGCATTACCTGTAACACGACCTCTCATCCCCATCGTGATGTGTTCAATCTTCAAGGCACTAGTAATGCAATTATCCCGATAGTTTCCCCCAGCAAGGGAGGTGAGCTGTGGATTGCAGGATCGGCACAGGAGCCTGACCGACAACGAGCCATTAAGGTATGCAATGATCAGCCTAGAGTTGGCTATTTGTATCCCCTCCAAGAGCCTTTGATGTTTGATCCCAGGGAATGGCATGCGACTCATAGGTGGACGGGGGATAGGATGACGCTGGTGGGATGTTCTCTTCATGGAATCAGCAGACTTAGCAGTCGTGATGTTCAACAGTTAAAGAGCCTTGGATTTCCTTTGCCAAAAGGACCATCCTCATGTCCCACACTTAGGCTCAAAAGGTTCCTCAGCAAGGGTCTTACGTGTTGTCAGACCCTCCCCAGTGATCTTCCCAACGATGCCTACTTCAACGAACAGCAAGGCCGACATGCAGAGGACTCTCCAGGAGATGGGCGAGACTCCGCCCAGCGCCTGGACCAAGGTCCAGCTCAAGTCGAGAATCGAAGAGCTGAAAGAGGCCCAGCCAAAGGTCACGACGGAGAAAGATGCGTCCAAGGAGATCAACAAGCGCCGGACAAAGGCGGCAACCCAAGCTCTCCTGGAGCATCATCAGATCGAGTTCTCCAAGAACGCCAACTCGGACCAGATGAAGGTGCTCTTGATGAAGCATTACATGACCAACCTGGTGCCACCGTCCAAGATGGACTTCCTGGGCTACGGCAAGTTCGCCGCTACGGCGAAGTGGTGGGACAGGCCATGTCCTACATGACATGGACGATCCGCACAATGGAGGACAATCCGGATTGCCACTGGAGATTGAGACGGTTCGGGACCTGGGCCAAGAACCTTTCAGAGAGAGAGAAAGAGAACCTGGTCCAGCTCTACAACAACCCAGAGAACAGCTCCGGGAGCTTTGCGCCCCACAGCCGTCGAGCGACCCTTCCAAGTGCGGCCAGCTCAAGCGCGGGGCCGGAGTCACAGTGGGATCATGCAGAGCTGATTCCGGACGAGACCATGAGGAAAGGGATCTGCATGTCGCGTGTCCTGTTGGAACGGTGGAGATCTTGAGTCTGTAGCAGGCCGTGGGTATGTTCGCCGAATGGTTGGGGAGACGAATCCGTTAGTGGTTTGGTTTAGTCCTGATGTGAGTCCGTACTCCCCTGTTCAAAGAATGAACCAGAAAAATGATGCACAGACTTCTCGACTCCAGGCCAAACAGGACAAGGCTGATAAAGTGTATGAGGGAGTGGCTGAGCTTTTCCGGGCGTTCTCTCATCAGGGAATCACGTGTCTTGGAGCTTGCTGAGTCCAGTGAGGTGTGGAACCAAGCCTGGGTTCAGTCTCTTGTTCAAGATCTGTCCTTGTATGTTGGCACGTGTCAGGGTTGCCAGGTGAACTGTAGAGACTATCAAGGAGCTCTCACTTGTCAGGGCTGGACTTTGGCCAGCACTGATGGAGCCTTAGTGCAAAACATGTCATTGAGTTGTGACAGAAAGCATGCTCAGACTCGAGCAGGCAGGTGTGAGGGGTACAAGCAGCGGTCTTACACCAGGGAGTTTGGTCGTAGGGTGGTTCGGTACCTCCAAAGGTTGACTGGTTGGTTTGAGACCGCTAAACAGTTTCAGAGTCAGCGAGAGACATGTTTTGCCGCGTCCGAGAGTGTGGAGGAGTCTTCAAAAGACTCCGCCCCATCAGAAATCCAAGACATACCTGCTGATCGCCGTAGGAGCATTTTCCAGAACCTGCAAAAGATTCATACTGCTACCGGCCATTGTAACAACCAGTACTTGAGAGCTAGTCTTAAGAAAAGGAGTGCTCCGGATGATGTTTTGAGATGTGTTGATCATTTCCAGTGTGATGCATGTGCTGAACGTCGTCGTCCGGATCCACGGAGTCCTGCTACTCTCAGCGAGATTGTTCCTAAATGGCACACTCTTCAATGTGATGCGCTTTCTCATGGAATCACCCTGAATCCAATGAGAAATGGCAGTTTATGCTTGGGGTTGACGAAGGTAGTCGTCTTCGTGTTGGAAAAGTTTTGTTTCAGCATCAGAGTAGGACCCCCAGTGCCCAGGATTTTATCGACTACTATGAAGGCAATTGGTTTCCGAGTTTTGGAAAACCCCAGGTGCTTCGTTTGGACCCCGCAGGATGCTTTCGCAGTAAGGGCCTTGACACGTACTTGGCTGACAGAGAGATAGAGGTGACCCACATTCCTGCCGAAGCACACTGGCAAATCTCTGTTGTGGAGCGTTCCATCCAAACCATCAAGGACAATATGCAGGCCTTAACCACCGAGAGGCCAACATGACTGCTTCTGAGGCTTTCAGTAGAGCTCTGTGGGCCAGCAATCACAGAGACCAGTATCATGGATACAGTCCTCTCCAACATGCGTTTGGAAGAGCGCCAGATGAGTATGGACGCCTGGGTGAGAACATGCTCCGCCATCTTGACAGAGAATGGGGTGTCCGGTGAGTTTGGAGTGGATGCCAAAGCGATGTACGTGGCCGAGCAGGCCTTCCTCGAGAGCCAGGCCAAGGAGCGGCTGCGAAGGGCAGAGCTTGCAGGGTCAAGGGTGATGAAGCACTTTTGTCCTGGGGACTTAGTGTTTGTGTGGAGACGTATGACCCCCAAAGGTGACGATGGTAGACACTTTAGGGGGGGAAGGTTTGTGGGGCCCTACAGAGTACTTGCAACGGAGACTCGATCTGCCAAAGACCAACACATCCATGCCAGTCATGTCATTTGGTTGTCGCGAGGGGGGCAGTTGATTAAGGCTGCACCACAGCAGCTGAGACCTGCGTCCAGTCGCGAAGAAGCATGGCATGAAGTTCAGTCTACTGCAAACATTCCCTGGACCATTGCGGACACTTTGAGAAGTCAACCTCCCCACATGTATGAAGATGTTTCCATGGATGCACAAGGCATGCCTAGTGTTCCTGAGCTTGCGCAACATGAGGAAGAGCTTGAAAGAACAAGGGTTCCTCAGAGGGTTACAGGCAAACAAGCACCAGCAGAGGAAGAACGAAGGATTAGGAGCAGAGGCGCCGACCAACAGGAACAAACAAAAACCACCGACCGCAACCGGAGCCGTTCCCGTGAGAGGAGAGTCACGAGAGAGACAGAAGAAGAAGCCCTGCACAAGTTGTTGGGCGTGCATGCTGCAGTGCAAGAAACCAGGTATAGGCAACGCCATTCCGCCAGAGCCCCAAAAGACCAGTCAAAAGACTGTGCCGAGGTGTTGGAGGAGTGTGGGGTGGTGTTTCCCGAAGAGGAGTCTGCTTTCTGGAGTTCTGAAAATCCCGCCGTGTCGTTTTCCCTTCCTCTTCCCCGGGTGGATACTAAGCAAGGGAGGGAGTGGACTCGGGATCTGGGGCGCTACTTTGTGAAGCAGCTTCGACGTGAAGCGGTGGAAATCTCTGAACGCCACCTCACAAAGGAGGAGCTTGCCGGGTTTCAACGTGCGAAGGGAAAAGAGGTGAAAAACTTTGTGATTGCAAAAGCTTTTCAGCAGTTGCCAAGTCACCTGAAACCTTCTAAACGTCAGATTCTCCGTACGCGTTGGCTGTTAACTTGGAAGCTGGATGAATCTCCTGAAGGTGAGCCCTTAAAAAGGGATAGTCAGGGTCATCCCCTTAAACCAAAAGCACGAGCCGTGGTTTTGGGCTACATGGACACTCTGTACGAGCAGAGGCCTACGAGTAGTCCTACCATGAGTAGGACTACCCGACAACTTTTCCTCCAGAACTGCGCGAATCATAATTTCCAAATGGAAAAGGGGGATATTTCCGGGGCTTTTCTTCAAGGAGATGATTTTGGACCTGAGAGACCAATGGTTTGCGAGCCGTTGCCTGAGATACACGAGGCATTGGGAGTGCCGGCGCACACTCCCATGCTTTTGACTAAGGCCGCGTATGGCCTGGTAGAAGCTCCGATCCAATGGTTTCTGTCCGTTTCGAGGTTCTTGGAGAGTCTCGGAGGAGAACGCCAGTTCTCTGACCCTTGCTGTTGGGGTTTCTTTAATGAAGATAGAACCCCCATAGGATGGGTGTGCGGGCATGTGGATGATTTTCTGTTTGGGGGTCCGAGTGGGGATGATAAATGGGAAAGCATTAAGACCCAAATCAAGGAGCGGTTTAAATGGGGCCAGTGGGAACAGCGCCGTTTTGTTCAGTGCGGTGTGCTTGTGGAACAGACTGAATCAGGATTCATGCTTAGTCAGCCTGATTATCTCAATGCCGTGAATGAGATTCATGTGACACGTGCTAGGTGGAACGATCCTAGTGCACCAATTACACCTCAAGAACTGTTCCAATTGAGGAGCGTTTTGGGAGCTCTATCCTGGCACGCCAATCAGGTTGCCCTGGAGCGCGCCCGTGAGTATGCTGCTCTCTCGCATACACCAAGGAACGGTTCAAGAAATCATTGAGACCAACAAACTGCTTCAGAAAGCCAAGCTGAGCCAGCACCAGAAGCTGTACATCCACAAACAGGAGGCTACCAAGCCTTTATTGGCAGCGTGGGCAGATGCTGCTGATGCCAGTCGTCGTGATGGGAGCTCCACCAAGGGAGTGTTCATAGGATGGACAACCGAGAACCTCGTGCAAGGAGACTTGAGTCGAATCTCACCTATATTTTGGCAGTCGGCCAAGATCCAGCGGGTGTGCCGAAGTAGTGGTGCAGCTGAGACACGAGCTGCCGTGGACACGGAGGACGAGTTGTTTGCCATTCGGTTTCAAACGTATGAATTTCTTGGGGGTCATGTGTCGTTATGGGATGTTGATGGTGCTGTGATGAACGTTTCTGGGTTTTGATTAGTGATAGTAAGAACTTGTATGATAAGCTGGGCCAAACCGTCATGACGTTGAAAGGAGCGGAGAAGAGGGCTGACATTGAAGCTTTGTGTTTAAAGGAAAGCATGAGCTCGACTGGGTTAACCATTAGATGGGTCAATGGGGATAGCCAACTGGCTAATGCTCTTACCAAGCCTCATGAACTCCATCAGTTGATGGAATTTAACCGTAGAGAGGGCCAATGGCGAATTGTGTACGATCCTGAGCTTCTTAGTGGTCGTCGCCGTAAGCAGATGGGGTTGACTTCTCTGCAAACGGCCACAGCAGGATGAATCTGGAGATTCCTGAAAAGGAACAAGGATCTTAAAGGCTTGGGGGCGTGCAAGCAACACAGCTTGAGCTCCTGCATGCACTTCCCAGGCCGCATCCGCAGCACCTTGGGCTTCTTAGTGGAAAAAGAGCCCGCAGCGGCAGCGTGCGCTGAGTCATTTTGCCTGCTGATCCGCTTTCAAGGGTTGAGGGTCCAGGGTGCGGGAAACTGAAGTTTTGGTCTGGGCGGCCCGCATTCAGCGTTTACTCCAAAGGAGGCTTCCCAAACTATAGGTACCTTTTCGGGGTTCCCTATAATAGAGATTATAGTATATTGGGGTCTACATTGGGATTCCCNNATTTTGGGAAACTACCAAATTCAGTTAGGGTAGAACCTATACAGCCCATTTTAGTGCAGCCAACCAGGTAAGGGCTAGGGGTTTGGTAGCTAAGCCTCAGAGTCCAGGCACTCGAATGGAAGGCATGTGAGCTATACTCTTGCCTCCTTTTTCGGGTTGAGACAGGGGTTATTTCCGGGAGTATTCGCCGAGGCATCCAGCCT